TTAGTAGGTGTTAGTAACGTCTCTTGCAGAGCCATAACGTCTACCTGGATTCTCGAGAGGAGTTCCATTAGTTCCGGTTTCCGGAGTGCTGCACCGTGCAGGTTCCACGAACTGATCTTAAGTGATTCAGGTAAACGTTGTGCTTGCATTTACTGTCCGTTGTTGAGTTGTTTGAAAAGAGACATGAATGCTTTCATTTTCTCTATGTCCTCGAGTGTGATTCCGGCCATTAGGCCTTGGAGTGTATTTGTGTTTGTGGTGTGTGTTTCTTGTCTTTGTGGCTGTTGTTGTTGCGTCTGTGGTTGTGTTTGTCTTTGTTGTTGTGGTTTTGGTTGTGTTGTGGGTCGTGTTGTGTTAGTGTTTGTCTGTGTTTTTGGTTTAATTTTAGGGAATACTTCGCATCCCCTGTAGCTAGCTGTATGATTTTTACCGCAATTTGCGCATTTAATTTGCTCTTTTGTTATGTTAGGCATGCAATCCCGTGATTCGTGATTTTGACCGCATTTAACGCATCTGGCCTGCGAGTGGCAGCACTTTTGTGCGTGCCCAAACCATTGGCATTTATGGCATTGCGAGACTCGACCCTTCGGTTTGTGCTGGGCTTCGGCCCGCACCACCAAGTGGCAACACCTCGCAACGTCATAAATGTTTTTATTCGCGTTTTTAGGTGTTTTTACCAAGAAAAGCGGCAGTGCACCTCTGCCGCCTACTCTAGATATTAGCTGATGGCATTCTAAAATTTCAAAACCTTGTTCGATAAGGTCTTCTTTAACTTCCTCAGCTTTCATAGTTGCTGGGAGTCCTCTTAATACCACGTGTAGTGGTATTTCTGATCGTAGTTGGTAGGTGTAAAAACCTAGGTTTTTACCCTCCAGAAATTTAGTTGCTTTGCGCCAGTTTTCCACGTCTGTTGTTTGAATCGCGATTCCGTTTGCGGTGGTTTTTGCTTTTGTTGTTTGAATCCCGTTATTTATGAATTGTTTTGATAGTTGATTCCAGCCTTCCGTTTCGCGCAGGATTATTGGAGGTGGTAGTTTACCCGTTGGGTCTAATACCACTTCCATTTCTTCGTTTACTTCCGGTTTAGGGGGGGGAGCTTGTTTCAATGCCTCCGCCATTGATTTTTTAGTTTCTGAGGGTGCTATTTGCCCCTCGGCTTGTCTTTTGGAGGAACCAGCTTGCGATTCCGCCTGGGATGAGGTTTTTCCCGTTTTTGGGATTACATTTGACGTTATAGGTTTTTGGTTTTTAGCTTTTTCGCCCGTACCGGTGTCTCCCTTCTTACTAACTACTATGGGTAGTTTTGTAAGTGGGAGGGGCTTTGGCTGCAGTTTCTCTTGCAGTTCCTGGATCGTTTGTGTCAAACGATCTATTTTCTCCGTTAGCTTGAGGAGCTGGTCTTGGAGAGCTATGTTGCGGTTTTCCGCATCACGCGTTTTTTCGATTTGAATCACTCGTTCATTCTCGGCTGCTTGGGCTCTTTCTTTCAACTTATTAAATTCCTCTTCCCGGGCGGCTTCGCGAGCTTTTTCCTCCCTAAGTTTTCGTTTAAGTTTTTTAGTCTCCTCCTCGCTTGGAGTTGTTAAGCTGGTTTTTCTAAAACCACTCCGACTCCTACGGTTTTCATCATCCGACGGCATGATGATTTCTTATTGTTTATTTAGTTATGTTGATAATTATTATATATTGGTTTCGTGACACGTCCAAGCACTTCTTTTTATGACTGGTTTTCGCCACTCATGGCTACTAACCAACAAAAAGTTTGTGTTTCCGTGTATTCTGTTTATATTGAGGGATAGGGTGTTTTGTTTGCTTACCGTTACTGCTAGGCTCGGATCAGGCCGAGTCTTAATGTGGAAGCCCTTGTGAAGGGGCACTACGGTTAAAAACAGTCTCTTATAACTCAAAGTGAGTTATCGAGTGCTGTCTTTGCCGTACCTTGCTTTCCACACTTAGACTCGCAGACAAGATCTAACTGCTGGGCTTTGGGGCCTTATAGTTGCCTGAAAGGTCGGCAGACTATAAGATTCCAAGTCGCTGCTTCTCTGAAAGAAATACAATGTTAGAAAATATCAAAGTATAGACGAATTCTATTAATTATCCTAAAAGGATACGTTTGTTGTGTTTTGGGCTTCCAAACTTCGATGCAAATGCTTCTTAATTTGTCTTCCCAGGTAGGTTTGTAACTTCGGCTTAGGCAATATTCCACCAACGACCGGCAAGGGTCTGGACGGTTAATCTTCTAAGCGCTCAGGTACGTGTTCTAAGCTTGGACGGCTGTCGAACTGTGTAAATATAAGCTCACCACGGGCATATTTTTGAAGATGTTGCAATTTTTTTGTGATTCAGAGGTGTTTTTGATCAACCACTCTTCCATTGACCAGTGCAGAGCGTTTTCCTCTGAACCGCATACCGTGTTGACCGCACTGAACTATCCAAGATTCCAATGAATTTTTGTATATTTATATCGAATCTGGCAACAACCGATACTTGGTCGGACAGAAGAAAGTTTTTTTTCCTCCGATTGGCAGCAAATATTAATTTTGCTGACACATATCAATCAGCAAAGTATTACTTTTCCTGCCTAGGCAGCAAAGTGGGTACTTTGCTGATCGATATGTATCAGCAAAATTGAAAATCCATAAATCGTTTATAATTTCCTTCATATTTCATCCGAGACTTCTCCGGCAACAAATTCAACTCTATATTTTTTGCCACCTCCCTTTTTAATGGAGGTGTAAGTATACTTCCAGGTCGCTATCACTGTCCATTATATAATAATTTAAATATAACGATATTTTTTCGCACAACTGTCAAATTTCATGAATTGTCAAACCAACAACTGCGATTTCTATCAAATTTCATTTCAATTGAACACTATACAGGAGGAATAAAGAGATTGTGGGAATTCTATTAATTCGCAAATACAATATTCTCCCATATCATTATGAACAATCGGAGAAAAAATTATATGTTCAACTCGGCAGCAAAGTAGATTGACTGCCTTAGCTGGATTCCTAGCCTCGCTACGCTCGGCCATGAATTCAGCCACGGCAGTCAATTTACTACTTTGCTGCCTAGTTAAACAAATAACTATTTTTCTTGTTGAACCGTGTTCAAAACGATTTGAAATTAAGCATTTTCTTGTGAAAGTTATGACGTCACCAAGTAATACGGTTCATTCCGGTTCAAAAACTTCTAAATGAACGGTTCGAACCAGGAAAACCAGTGGAGAAGTGAGAAAACGTCGAAGTTTGATGGTTTGAGCGTTTGAGGTTATAAATATCATTTTTGAGAAATTGGGTATGGTGCATAATTTTCCAAATTTTCGAGGAGAATAATCATTTCCAGATAATTATCTATTTCTCTGGTTCAGCATTTGTGAAAGACGACACCGTACCGCATCTGCTAATGATTATCAATTAAAAATTCCACTATTAGTGATTCCATTCTTTTACACTCCTCAAGTTCCGTAAATTAACTTGGTTATGTTTTTGAAATTTCGGTTTTCAGTTTATTTTATGTTATGTATCTGACTTATGACAGCTTCAATTTCAAAATCGTCTGTTTTCTTGAATGCGATAAATTACTGTCACGCTTGAAAACGGTTGAAGACTAAAAAACGTCAATGTCATTCGTGACCAAGTTACTGAATAGCTGAAAATCTGAAGGGTATCTCGCAAGCCCTAATAAATTTGCGCCTTCGAACCACACTTCGAAGGACGCAGTTGATTTGAGGTTTTCAAATGTTCATCATTTCCATTTCATCACCTAAATAATCCGAGACATACGAGTGCCGAGAGACAGGGTGGTAACGAACCGAAACGAATGAAAAATGGTGTCAACAGTAAGGGGACTACTGGATCTGTAAGCACTCTGAAACTGTGACTCTATAGGTATTTTTTCGCGAGTTCCCGTTGATCAGCCACCGGTAATAGAGCGGTTATACCCCCACCAAAAAATAAACTGAAGGCCGTTCATCCTCTTTGATTTCTCACGAAAATGAACCGGTTAACCGCTCAGATTTCTGTCAGCTGGGATTTTAATTTTCGATCGTAATATATGATCATAATGAATGGACAGTTGCATTCTGGTTGCATGATCGTTGGCTCCGGCCGCTCCGGTGGCTCAACAAAAATCATCTCAAAATGTTCCCAACAGTACTGTCAATGATTCATGATTTTTTTGAATCAACTTCGATTATAAAGTCACGATTTTCAGGAAGTTATTTTCATCCTAGAGTGAATCATATGAACTGGATGAATAAATATAATGATGTGGTATATTTTCAGCTATTTCGAATAAAAAGAACAACTTTTTCAACGTTATTGATTGTTCAAGTTGGTGTTCTTCCATTTCTTGATTTGAAAAGTGAGTAGTAGGTATCTCAAAAATAGTTTGAATAATTATAAATATGTTTACTTCTAATAATAACATAATACTTTGGAAATAATGATACAATGTCACTTGTCAATTACTATAACTGAAATGCTTATCTTAACTATAGCCGCCAATAGCAGTAACCATGCTCACAGATGCGGGATCTGAAAAAACAGTTCCCGTTTTAAAAATTGTGACGTCACTGATGACGTCATTATCATACTCCCCTATTACCGTTATGACGCGAAAATGCAACGGGAACTGAATATCAGTTCCCGGCAAATCAACGGGATCTCGCGAAAAAATATCTTATACTCTCTCTACTGTGATTATGTCCTTGTCCTTACCAAATTTCATGGCTGTTTGAATTTGCAAATTCAGAATCTTGCAGCAATCCTGTCATCAACCACAACAATCACAACCACACAGGCACCACACAGGCACCACACAGCACGTCAATGAGTCTATGAGTAGCACTCAGCTGACTGTGACACAAAAACAAATAAATTCTAATTCTATTTTCTGTTATCAGGTACTACTGTGATGAAGTTGTGATAATATGTCGGAGGTAAGTACTTTTTTAATATCTTATTATTCCCAAATATTGTTCGGATTTTCAGGAAAAGAAGAGACATGTTCCCAGTACATTGAGAAAAATATTGAACTATGATATCTATTTATCCAAGAAATTCTTGACCTGGACAGATGGAATCCCCCCATTACAAGCACTGAGCAGTAATGCCAAAGCCTTAGAGGTACTAGCCTAGATTTCTTATCTTGATTTTGCTGGTTGATTGGATGATTCAATTTTCTATACATGATGTCACATAAACTTGGGATGAGCTGCAATAAAATTACTGCAAGATCAGATTGTTGAAATTATAGCCTATATTTTGAAATTATGTATCAATTTTTTTGGAGTAGATGTTCTGGTATCTATTTTCTTCCAAAAATGTTTTTGGTTCATGCTCATATTTTGAGGGGAAAAACATTAATTAATTCCATAAAACATGTCAATTTTACCTCCACCATTTTTCAGCATCACTATTCTTCTTTTAGTATAATAACTTCCTCTTTTAATTACTTGATGCATTTTTAACAAGGGCTCTGATTAGTCATCTCTGATATCCACACTTCTAAAAATTATGAGATCTTAGGTACCATTAGGGTTGTCATCTCTAAAATTTGAAAACCAGGACAAGGCTACTTGAAAATCCATTTTGAAAACTTGAATCATTTTTTGTGATTCCAAAAATATACTTTCATATACTTATACAGTGTGTAAAATCCAAATGGAATAATAGTTATTTATTATACAAGGGAAAAAAGTAGTAGATTTTAGCTCCAGGTTGTGTTGTCTCCCGACGCGTAGCGGAGGGGGACAAAAAACCGTGAGCTAAAATCTAATATTTTTCCCGTGTATAATACACTATTTTTTTCTGTGACAGAAGGAAGGACGAATCAATATTGAGAAGATATTACATTATTTCGAAATCTGAAAATTATCGACGTGAAATTTCAAGTTTTTAACAGTAGGGACACCTGCGTCTTATAGGCATCTTTATCATTCTTTTGAAGTAATCAAATATCTGATGTCACTTCTAACAGTTCAATTCTGTGATTTGATTTTAAATAACTGCGAATTCAGTAGTTGTTTAGTAATATACGAAACCGCGAAGTCGAATGGAAGATAAAGGACTTGCAGTTCTTTCTCGGAGACGGTATTATTGACTCATTTTTCGGAACTATAGCACAACAAAAGCCATTAACAGAGTATATATATATGTGATATATATCCGGGAAAGAAGTACTCACTTTTTTCCCACGGGAAAAAAGTAATTTATGAAAAGTGACATTTTATAACCTGCCAACAGAGATGAAATGCCAAACTTTTTTCCCGTCACAGAAAAAATTCATTATTTCGGTTACTCTACATATTTATAAAAAATACCCAAATATGTCAACTACATTTTCGAGGGGAATTATTTTCAGCTCTGCGGCGTTGCCGCTTCTAACGAAAAGTAGCAACAACTTTGATATTTCAAATAATGGAATACCCTGTATTTCATTGCATTTTTAGATTCTTCCCAAAGAGCTGACTTCATCAATGCATCACACTTGAGATATTGCGGCAATGATTACAGAGCTATATGGGATTTTTTCATGTCAAAACTATTGATCATTGGTCAAACCGGCTCACATGACCCTATCTCAAATTTCGATTCACTATCTACTGACATTTAATTGTAAAAAATTCAGGGTGGTTCAAGATTCAGAATTATGTTCCAATTAAATGTCAGTAGATAGTAAATCAAAAGTTGAGATAAGGATATAACAGCAATTTCGACCAATAATGACTAGTATCGACAGAAAAAAAAGCTAATGTTGAAAAATATCGATTTTGAACACCCTGCAGGTCTGTAATCATTGCCGCAAGATCTCAAGTGTGATGCATTAATGAAATCAGCTCTTTGTGGAGAATCTAAAAATGCAATGAAATACAGGGTGTTCCACTTGAAATAACAAAGTTGTTGCTACTTTTCGTTAGAAGCGGCAACGCCGCAGAGCTGAAAATAATTCAGAACGATGTGTCCCTCGAAAAAGTACTTGACTTGTTTCGGGATTTTTTATAAATATGTAGAGTAACCGAAATAATGAATTTATTCCATTTGGCTTCTACACACTTCTACACAGGATTCCGCTCTGCTCCGCTCGTGCTTAAAATACTCGTTACTAAAAGGACGTTTATAGCACTTGTTACATAATATACTATTTTTTTTAAATTCACATTTTTACGCAAATGAGATTATTGAAATACCATCTACAGGGTGTTTCAAAAAAACCTGACCCCCTAACTAGGGTAGGTAGAACACTGCAAAATAAGTTGGGTTTACTTAGTAAGAAAATTTCGTAACGGCATCCGTTATCAAGATACAAGGTGTTGAAAAAATATTTTTTTTACACATTTTTCAAGATTTTGACGAAACTACTGGCAACATTGTGATGAAATTTTGTATGGATGTTTCTTGGAATCTGACACATCGCATGCATTCGTTTTTATATCTGACTCTCATAGAGGGCACTAGTTACACGGTTCGTACCAAGTAGTTTTGAACATAACTTTTTTGAGGTTAGATTTTTCGATCCAAATTTGATGTGAACTTAGACATCATTCAATTTAAAACCAAAAAGGTACTCTTGGTAAAACTCGATACTGTGTACCGTTTTCAGAATATTTCGATTTGAAAATGATGAAGTGATAACTGTTGCTGGTATAAAGCTATGTATTATAGAGTGAGTATTATGAAAAATTATCACCTATTTATTGAAAACCGAAAACAAGAATACATTTCTGATGCTAAACTTATTGATTTAACAATGAATCACAAGAATAACATGGAAACAGATTTGACTAAGAACATGGATTACACTGTTTTGTTGTATCTTGAGCAGAAAGTTTATGCTACATAGGTAAATTCACGTCAAGAGTTGTAAGACATGATTGTACATCACTCAAATGACCTAACAGCTGATTCTCAACTGTTTAAAAGAATAATACATTCTCAAGGAAAGAAATTAGAATCGTGTATTCGTCGAAACGTAGGACATTTTGAACACTTACACTAACTCTCGCACTAACTGATTCAATATTTCATGTTTCTAGTCAAATATCTCTTAATTTACAACTTATGACTCTTTGTTCCATCAATAACTCCAGTGCAAGAATGATTTTATTGTTTTTGAATCTGAATAAATAGGTAATTGAACTCAATAATATTCATTTTATACCAGCATCAGCTATTGCTCCATTATTTTCAAATCGAAATATTCCGAAAACGGAACATTGTATCGAGTTTCACCAACTGTACCTTTTTGATGTAAAATTGAATGATGTTCAAGTTCATATCATATTTGGATTGAAAAATCTAACCTCAAAAAAATTATGATCTAAACTAGTCGGTACGAAACGTGTAACTCGCGCCCTCTATGAAAGTCAGATATAAAAACGAATTCATGCGATGTGTCAGATTTCAAGGAACACTCATACAAAATTTCATCACAATGTTGCCAGTAGTTTCGACATAATCGTGAAAAATGTGTACAAAAATAATTCTTTCAACACCTTGTATCTTGAAAACAGATGCCGTTACGACATTTTTTCACTGAGCAAACCCAACTTATTTTGCAGTGTTCTACCTACCCTAGCGAGGGGGTCAGGTTTTTTTGAAACACCCTGTATATTGAAATTTACTGGCTGCAAGACTTCGGTCGATGACCTTTTGGTTGTAATTCATAACCAATAAATAGCGTTTATTATTATTATTATTATTAGATTCTCAATCAACAGTTTGAAACAAAACTAAGTCACATAAATAATACCAAATCTATAAATACTTATTCAAATTTTGAGCAAATTTTCTCTGACATGATAAGTTTATGTCAGTGGTGGGACCTGACAAAAATACCAGAGCCGGAACTAGGATTCTAGCGCCTGTGGCAAACTTTCAAAATGCGCCCTTGAAGAAATTCAGTTTTCAATAAATACATGTTATTTATAATTGACATTCATTGAACATATTTTGAAGAACTTTTTTATTCACAATAATCTCCCATATTTCTTAAAAGGTAATGAACAAAAACTCAATCGAGGACCTTAAGTAAGGTTTCACTAATTTCAATTTACTAAACGACCGTTCACATGTTGCTGTGGTCACTTTAGGATATATTGTTTGAAGCGACAATTCACGCATTTTCCGAAGAATATCAAGAGCATTCATTTTGTCCAAGTCCGTAAACATTGCACATGCTTGAAATTTGAAGCTCTCTAATTCGTTGACGAATTCATACGGATCCAAATCGGAACTATATTTCAATGCCAAATCCGCAGCTTTCTTCTTCAATTCACCAAGTGAAGACTCTTCTATAGATATTCCTTTCAAAAAATTGAAGTCTTCAGAAACTTCTGACATCGCAGTAAATCTTTCTCCAAGTTGCATCGATATGGAGTCCAATACTTGAAGGAGTTCCTTTTTCGAAAGAGTTTTCCTATCCGTAATGAAAGCCTCATCATTAGTTTCTTCTCCTGGCATTTTTTCAATTTTACGTTTCCTCTCCTCTCTAAAATTCGCTCCAATATTGATTGTTTCAGCGAATGATTTGGAGGATTCTGATAGAGACTCGAAGAAATCAGATCTATAATTATGAATTTAATCAGATAGTCCTTTTATCATTTTCGCACCATCCTCAACATTTAATCTTTGGTTCTGTAGTGCCAGATTGATTTTGTCGTGTTTCGCGCCATGTATCATTTTCTAGGATTTTGTTCCGTTTTGGTAGAGTTCGTTAACTACGTGTCACTCAACTTTGTGAACTGGTAAATACGCCACTCTGAAATATAGAGCTTGTAGTCAATCTTCATTTAAAATGGAATATACTATATTCCACATTTTGCGCCCCTAGGTCGTTTGCGCCCGTGGCAAATGCCTTCTTCGCCACGCCCACGGTCCGGCTCTGAAAAATACAGACAGATTTTCAAAACCCACCTGGAATCCCCTAAAACCCGGACATGTCCGGAGAAATCCGGACAAATAGCAACTGTAGGTACCATGATCATGAAACAAGTGTTCTCGAAAGAGGCTGGAAAGTTCTGACAAAAATTTTCGGAAATTTTGACAAAAATAAATGGATTAATATTTCCAATAATATGCTGATGAAATTATTGTGATGAAAATGAGGTTACTTTTAAAATAAAAATAAGTATCATGAATATTCCAATGTACTTATGTAAAATACTGTCTGTAGGTTAATCGAGGAGGTGTTACATTCATTTTACTTGGTTCTTTGGGATTTTCTCTCCTCGTTTCTATAAAATAAAAGTATTCGTATTATTTCAATATATTTGTAGAGGGACAAATCAGATGATTTGCCCCAAAATGTCACTGCGTTTAACAAATTTTTCTATCAGGGAGTCTAAAAGAAAAATCCAGTAGCTTGTCAGTGACAATTTGTTTGAAAAAATTTTTGAAGGAAAGAAATATAGATATATTGAAAAAATATCGAATTTGTACTTATCTTTGGACGTTTCGGGACCGATTCTGCTCCCGTTCTCAACATGTAAATGCAAATTATTTTTCTTTGAAAGTTGTGCTGCGTATAGTTTGACACTTTTCAGCACAACTTTCAAAGAAAAATAATTTGCATTTACATGTTGAGAACGGGAGCAGAATCGGTCCCGAAACGTCCAAAGATAAGTACAAATTCGATATTTTTTCAATATATCTATATTTCTTTCCTTCAAAAATTTTTTCAAACAAATTGTCACTGACAAGCTACTGGATTTTTCTTTTAGACTCCCTGATAGAAAAATTTGTTAAACGCAGTGACATTTTGGGGCAAATCATCTGATTTGTCCCTCTACAAATATATTGAAATAATACGAATACTTTTATTTAATAGAAACGAGGAGAGAAAATCCCAAAGAACCAAGTAAAATGAATGTACTTATGTAAGTTCTTGAGGTTATTGGACAAATACATATTATTAATATATTATGACATCATTCATGTTTTTTCAAACATCGAGGTGAAGAGACCTAATACAGTGTCATTCATAAAGTCGGCATCATATAGGAAACACTTTTATTAATGACTTATTTTGGAATTCGAGTTGGACGTTGAGTTTTGCTTCGAAAAAGATGCAAAACGGCCTACTCAATCGGGGTCACGTGACTTTCGCTACATGTCAAAAGTGACATTTTTTCAAATTAATCGCTGAAAGTAGGCTTATTTGTTCGAATATCGAAAAAGTTTAATTGAAAAAGTTGTTTCTATTTCAATTTTACACATGCTTCTTGAATTTGATATTTCTATTGCAACTTTTAGATTTTGATTTTTTTTTTAAATATTTCGAAATTTCTGTAATATTTGGAGAATTGTTAATTCCACGAAACTACTTCATACCAGTAGCTTTGTCATGCTATTTACTTTCAATTACTTATTATCACTGATTATGGACAGAAATATTATTTTCTTCAGAAAATGATAATACCCGCTTCCAAATTCTGTTATGTTTGATGCAAAGTTGATATATCGTCAAGCATCTAGAAACGAAATTCATTTAAACTGATCTTTTCAGTACCGAAAAAATAAATTTAAAGAATTTCGTTTCTAAATGCTTGACTCAAACATAACAGAATAATGATGTTATGTTTGCATCAAACATAACAGAATTTTGAAGCGGAGATTATCATTTTCTGAAGAAAATCATATTTTTGTCGATAATTAGTGATAATTAGTAATTGAAAGTTAGTAGCATGATGAATCTACTGGTATGAAGTAGTTTTGTCGAATTCACAATTTTTTCAATATTACAGAAATTTCGAAAATTTTTGAAAAATATCGAAATCTAAAAAATGTAATAGAAAGATAAAATCCGAGTCACATATATGTAAAATTCAAATAGAAACAACTTTTTCAAGTAAACTTTTTCCATATTCGAACAAATAAGCCTACTTTCAGCGATTAATTTGAAAAAATTTCACTTTTGACAAGTAGCGAAAGTCACGTGACTCCGATTGAGTAGGCCATTTTTCATCTTGTTTGAAGCAAAACTTAACGTCCAACTCGAATTTCAAAATAAGTCATTAATAAAAGTTTTTCCCATATGATGCCGACTTTATGAATGACACTGTATATGTACCCTTTTTTTGTTCAATGCCGTACCCCAAACATCAATGAATTTATTTTTTCAGGCATAGTCTGGTGCATAGTTTTTCTATCTAAAAAAATGTTCACTCTGCAATAAACCATCAAGTTCCTTTCTTCCCAATAGTGCATTCTGCAAAGAACATTGTACTTATTACAATTGATTTTTTTTGAACAGATCTCCTGCCATGGAATTCCTTGGTTTGCCTTTTGGATAGCCTTCACCTGGTTATTCGATAACCCTCATTTGGTGGAAATGCAAGTGAATATGCTCATGGGTAGGTGACATTTTCCACAACACAAAAGGTATATTATACAGGGTGTTCCAGATTTGAAATGAGAAAAGCCTATAGGGTCTACAAGCTGGCTGACAAAAAACGGGTCAAGCGATAGCGCTTTTATCAAGGCCTCTATTAACTATCCGATTTTGAGAAACAAAAAAGCAAATGAAATAATTCATCAGATACTATGAGAAAGTAGGCTCTGATCATTATTTTTTCGAATTTCAACTGTAACATCATCAAATGTTAACTTTTTTATTTTCGAATGGCACAAATTTTTTTCGGATCGAAATTTTTCACAAGTTGACTTTTGGATAAAATCATATAATTTCTTTTCACAAACCGAATTTTTATACTGAATTTTCATGCCGAATTTCTCCAATTCCTATTTTCAACCTTCATTTAATATGCACCAATCACTTTTGTGCATACACATATGGTTTATTAAAGTAGTGCCAGCAAATTTACCTCTGCATGGCAGTTTTGTCTGACGCAAATTGATGCAGAAAGCGTAATTCCGCAGGTTTAGGCACATAGACACAATACGGATAATGCCCTAAAGTCCAATCATGCTGAACAGATTTGAGAAGAAGAATACATATACCTAGGTTAACCCTGACCTATATTCAATACCAAGATCTGAAGCCATAATGTTGGATTAAAGGGTGTGAGTTTCGTGATTCCATCGAACTGAAAGAAATTATTATCGTAGTCATTTCATTATCATCTGCAATGGCTCTCTGCTGTTCCTCAAAGTTACTGACTTTATGCTTTGCTATATTTTAACCAGATGTTAAAATTATATCGAAGACTGGAACTTTTGGCACGATAATACACTACAATGTTTTACCACTAACCAAACCGATTGTAGTGCACATTGTAAAGGAATAAATCGAAGTTGACGATATTATACTCTGTAGTATCATCCAGGGTATCATCAAATATTCATGATTTTCAATATTTTACTATGATCAAATAATAGGGACCCTAAGTTAGAACCCTGTGGAACTCGCGAAATAAAATGCAACAAAGCAGGGTTGGCATGAATTGATTCATATGACTAAAATCAGTGATTTAATTCGTGAATTAATTCAAATGACTTTTTTTCAAGTTGTTATTATTTAGGAACCTAACCTAACTTAAAATCTGATCCTCACGTTAGCAGTTTCCATCCTTCACTTTCCGTCCTTATAGATTCAAAAAGTACCTCTCATTTTGGTACCATTTTTGTTGAGATATCATAATACAGTGTGTCCCACTTACCATGCTCACCATGGGTATCTTTTTAACGGTGAGAGATACGAGGTCGGTTAAATGACACCAAATGTGGAGTTTGTCAAGGCCAACTATAATGTGAAAAAATATTTTGATAAAATCTATTCGTTTTTGTTTTATACGCAAAAAACAGATTCTGATCATTTTCATGTCTCCTCCGTAACTTCTTTATTTATGAAAATATTCTAATAGCAATTTCTCATTCTTATGGCAGTTTTTCAAAGTGATTTCGAGAAAAATATGAAATTCATACCAACTCTTCTAGAATTTGAGATATCAGCACCAACTTTAGTTTTTCAAATGTAGGTCATAGCTCACTATGAATTAGTTACAAATAACTTTTTTTTCTCTCACAGATGATATGTCGCAGTATCAGTTTTGTGTTGATAACAACGGAGTTATCGTCATTTATACGAAAACAAGAAATTATTTGGAAGCCGCCATCTTGAATTTATAAATTTTAACAAAAAAATCATGATCTCCGACCTCAAAAACCCCCACTTACCAATTTTGAATGGAATCGGACCAAATCTTGTCCGCCATCTTGGAGCAGCCATTTTTTTTAATTTCAACAAAAATCCCATTACTCCGATTAACTTGAAATTTGGCAGGTGTTCATAATTTCGGTGACAATACATTATGGAATTTTTGTTGAAATTGAAAAAAATGGCTGCTCCAAGATGGCGGACAAGATTTGGTCCGATTCCATTCAAAATTGGTGAGTGGAGGTTTCTGAGGTCGGAGATCATGATTTTTCTGTTAAAATTTATAAATTCAAGATGGCGGCTTCCAAATAATTTTTTGTTTTTGTATAAATGACGATAACTCCGTTGTTATCAACACAAAACTATTACTGCGACATATCATCTGTGAGAGAAAAAAAAGTTATTTGTAACTAAGTCATAGTGAGCTATGACCTACATTTGAAAAACTAAAGTTGGTGCTGATATCCCAAATTCTAGAAGAGTTGGTATAAATTTCATATTTTTTTCGAAATCACTTTGAAAAACTGCCGTGAGAATGTGAAATTCCTATTTGAATTTTTTCATAAATAAAGAAGTTATGGAGGAGACATGAAAATGATCAAAATCTGTTTTTTGCACATAAAACAAAAACGAATAGATTTTATCAAAATATTTTTTCACATTATAGTTGGCCTTGACAAACTCCACATTTGGTGTCATTTAACCGACTTCGTATCTCTCACCGTTAAAAAGATACCCATGGTGAGCATGGTAAGTGGGACACACTGTATAGAAATAGTACATATATGGTTCTCTCAAACCTCAGGTTTGTTCGTGGACATCGTTTTCGTGGCCGTAGCGAAAGCGTACTTCCGCAGGCGCAGACCCGTGGAGAACAAGGACGATGCCCTGGGACAAATGGGGCCCGACGTGTTCAGTTTCCCGTCGGGCCACGCCAGCAGGGCCGTCTTCGTCGTCTACTTCTTCACCCGCTTGTGGCCCGTTCATTTGCTGTTCCGGCCGTCTGTGGTCGCTTGGGCCTGCGCCATTTGCTTGAGCAGGTAAAATACACTGACATAATCACTATACAGACTGTTATATGTCATATAATGGTCTTTTTCTGCAACCGACAAAAAAGTCGTCCATTTTGATACCAAAATTAGCTCTTAAATTGACGTTTCTATTACTGACATAAAATAGGTATGTTGCCAGGCAACATATTTAGTTCCTAGGAGCTAAAGTTGAATTTTAGTTCCTAGGAGCTAAAGTTGAACTTTAGCTCCTAGGAACTAAAAAGGATCTACTGGACGTCATCAAGAATAACAACATTGTGACGGTTGGTTATTTGGGTTGAGACGCATACCTGATTTGTTTCCGATTTCAGCAGATTTGGCATTTCATACCTATGCTGGAGATATAAATACACCTCATTATAGTGTAGTATTGGAATTATAAACATCTCAGTTAAGTATTTTTGTTTTGATCAGGGAAGCCTTCAAGATTCAAATACTTGCTTGATCTGTATTTCATTCGTTATTCTCGGGATGGATAATTTGTTTTTGAATAATCACGGCAAGCAATAGTTTTTTTGTCTCAAACAACGATATTGTTTAGCTTCATTTGATTATCAAGTCAAACACAATGTAGTTTATATGGAGAGGAATAAATAATCACTATTTTCATTGTTGATATGCTCACTAACCTACCATTTTCCACGTCTTGTTCCTATAGCTGGCACTGGCGCGGTATTTGCCATTAGAGCACCTGGTCCATACACAAATATGTCACTCTGTGGTTGTATTTATATTGAAACTACAATTCGAAAATCCTAGAAAACCTAACCTGCTGTTAATGCAGGTAGAATATTCTCACTACATGGATTATTTGTCGATATTTGTTGCATTGCATACATATGGCACGGCATTGATGGTGATTACTTCACATGTTTATTTGAGTTAATTGTTTTGGTTGCAGAAAAAATAGCATGTTTCATTCGGATCAAAAGTGACTTTGTTCGACACGCAAATTTTGCTTTCGCTCGGCTTCGCTAAACGCTCCGCCTCGCAAATGCAAAATTCGCTTTTCAAACAAAGTGTCACTTTTGATCCTAATAAAACAATCTACTATTTTCTGCAATCGGCTCAAAAGTCGTCCATTTTCGTTCCAAAATTAGCACTTGAAGTTCGCGTCCCTCTTTCTGACAAAATAAAATGAATAGTACGTATGTCGGCTTCGCTAAACGCTCCGCCTCGCAAATGCAAAATTCGCTTGTCGAACAAATGTCACTTTTGATCCTAATAAAACAATCTACTATTTTCTGCACTCGGCTCAAAAGTCGTCCATTTTCGTTCCAAAATTAGCACTTCGAGTTCGCGTTCCTCTTTCTGACAAAATAAAATGAATAGTGCGTATGTTACACTTATAGTATCTAGGAGCTAAAGTTGAAGTTTAGCTCCTAAAAAGTAAATACCTGTCGTATGACAGCTGATATGATAGCTGCTTTGACGCTGACATGGTCAAGTGACTCAAAATAGTGGAAACATATTTTTTCTGCAACCGACACAAAAGTCGTCCATTTTGATACCAAAATTAGCTCTTAAATTGACGTTTCTATTACTGACACAAAAATAGGTATGTTGCTAGGCAACATATTTAGTTCCTAGGAGCTAAAGTTGAATTTTATTTCCTAGGAGCTAAAGTTGAACTTAAGCTCCTAGGAACTAAAAAGAATGTACTGGACGTCATCGAGAAGGAACAACATTGTGAAGGTTGGTTATTTGGGTTGAGACGCATACCTGATTCGTTTCCGATTTCAGCAGATTTGGCATTTCATACCCATGCTGGAGATATAAATACACCTTATTATAATAGTTTGGTATTGGAATTATAAACATCTCAGTTAAGTATTTTTGTTTTGATCAGGAAAGCCTTCAAGATTCAAATACTTGCTTGATCTGTATTTCATTCGTTATTCTCGGGATGGATAACTTGTTTTTGAATAATCACGGTAAGCAATCGGTTTTTTGTCTCAAACAACGATGTTGTTCAGCTTAATTTGATTATCAAATCAAACACATTGTAGTATGGAGAGGAATAAATAATCACTATTATCATTGTAGATATGTTCACTAACCTAACATTTTCCACGTCTTGTTCCTATAGCTGGCACTGGCGCGGTATTTGCCATTGGAGCACCTGGTCCATACTCAAATATGTCACTCTGTAGTTGAATTTATATTGAAACTACAATTCGAAAATCCTAGAAAACCTAACCTGCTGTTAATGCAGGTAGAATATTCTCACCACATGGATTATTTGTCAATATCTGTTGCATTGCATACATATGGCACGGCATTGATGGTGGTTACTTCACATGTTTATTCGAGTTAATTGTTTCGGTTGCAGAAAAAATAGCATGTTTCATTCGGATCAAAAGTGACTTTGTTCGACTCGCAAATTTTGCTTTCGCTCGGCTTCGCTAAACGCTCCGCCTCGCAAATGCAAAATTCGCTTGTCAAACAAAGTGTCACTTTTGATCCTAATAAAACAATCTACTATTTTCTGCAATCGGCTCAAAAGTCGTCCATTTTCGTTCCAAAATTAGCACTTGAAGTTCGCGTCCCTCTCTGACGAAATAAAATGAATAGTACGTATGTTGCTAGGCAACACTTATAGTATCTAGGAGCTAAAGTTGAAGTTTAGCTCCTAAGAAGTAAATACCTGTCGTATGGCAGCTGATATGATAGCTGCTTTGACGCTGACATGATCAAGTGACTCAAAATAGTGGAAACTTATATTTAATTAATTAGATATCAATTATTTCAATTGCAAGTAAATGTACAGCAAGAGTTCCAGACCATTTTGGGCAGCTTTCCCATGTTAATTCCCATAGGAAAATTTGAGGTCAAAAATAGCAAAAATGGCTCTTTTTTCAAGGTCGATTGACCATGGTAGTAGTTGAGCAAAGAAAGTAAGAGATCACATAGGGCGTTACCTGTTGGGAATTCCAGATCACTGATCTGGCAAAAATAGCATGTTTCCTTCGGATCAAAAGTGACTGTTTGTCTAGCAAATTTTGCTTTCACAATGCAAAATTCGCTTGTCAAACAAAATGTCACTTGTGATAAAACAATCTACTATTGTTTTCCCTGTGTAATGATCACGCCATCAGCTTATTTTGGGAAATAAAATTCAGGTGAAAATTTCGAAATATAAATCCAAGATTTGGTAAGAATTTCCCCGAAATCGGACAAGATTGAAAAAGTAACAAGGCGATTAATTTGGCAATTTTTTTTGCTGGCCGGTTTTTTTTGCTGGTGAGTGTATACTGCTGTATGTGTGTGTGTATACAGGGTTGGGCAAAAGTATGGAACCAGGTGAATATCTCGGTAACCGTTCGTTAGATTTTTTTGGATATATGTACAGGGTGATTTCAAAACGTGGTGGATTTGAAAATGTTATCGTCGATGTTGCCACTTTTTCAGTTATTCCGGAATTATTATCAACTTCCTTATTTTGAATAGAACACCCTGTATTTTATCGAATTCACAAAGTCTCCCTGAGAAGCTGATTTCATCGATTCATCACACTTGGGTCTAGCAAGAATGATTACTGAGATATAGGGTGTTCGAAATCGAGATTTTTCAACTTTAGGATTTTTTTGTGTCGAAACTATTCATTATTGGTCAAAACGGCTTACATGTCCCTAGTAGTCATTCTAGCTAGACCCCAAGTGTGATAAATCGATGAAATCAGCTTTTCAGGGAGAATCTGAAAATTCAATAAAATATAGGGTGTTTTATTTAAAATAAGGAAGTTGATAATAATTCCGGAATAAATGAAAAAGTGGCAACATCGACGATAACATTTTCAAATCCACCACGTTTTGAAATCACCCTTTACATATATTCAAAAAAATCTAACAAACGGTTACCGAGATATTCACCTGGTTCCATACTTTTGCCCAACCCTGTATATGACGTTCATCAGGATGAGAAAACGCACAGAGAATTTATTTTTTTGAATTATTCATTCCTTCTAAGTTTCCCAAAATGAATTCCCGAATAAATGGTTCCGTTAGAACACAAGATTATTCACTGTTCAGTGAGATAAGCAGCGTTGCCGTTTTTTCCATGTGAACGTATTTTCGAACGAGCATATTAGCTGACTATGCTGCGTTATTGCTATGGACTTCTGTTTAAGTCAATTTCCACTATATTGTGACATTCCCCCTTTTTTCCCTGTGTTTTTCAGTTGCAACTGTAAATAAATCAAATGTTCGTGAAAAAAAGAGTATTTTTAGGATGGCAGTACAACTGTAAATGCAACTGTAATTTAGACAGGAGAATTTTTTTAATTATCATAATTTACAGTTGCAATTGTAAATTAGGAGGTGTTTTGAAAAAAGTGTTAAATAAATAAATAATAAATAAATAATTTATTGATCCTTTCAGACATTTATATGTATAGGACAGGTCAGGGTGGTACTAACAAGTACATGTATAAGAAAAATTGAGTGTATAAAACAGTGATCACACAGGTTACAAACGTATATATAAAACAAAACAGATTAGATTCTGAAATCTCTATCAGACATAAACTCATCTATGCTGTAGTAGCATTTGGATACTAATAGTGATTTTATGTATTTTTTGAATGAGTGTCCATCCAGGCATTGGATGCTTTCGGGGAGATGGTTGTAGAACATAATTCCACAATAACTAGGACTTGTTTCAAATTTAGCTGTTTTATGTGATGGAATACACAAGAAATTTCTCTTTCTGGTCGAGTATGAATGGTACTGAGAATTAGTTTTGAACTTACCTATATTTTCCCTGAAATATAGCAGGCATTTGAAGATGTATATACAGGGGAACGTTAGGATTTTGTAATGAACAAAATAGGGTCTACATGACTCTCTAGGGGGCAAGTTGAACATGGTGCGAATTATTCTTTTTTGAGCAATGAATATTCTGTCACTATCAGCACAATTTCCCCAGAGCACCACATTATATGACATATGGCTATATACCATACTATAGTACACTGTTAACAATGACTCTACTGGCATAGATGACTTTATTCGTGAGATTGCGAATCTAGATTTATTGAGCTTTTTTCTAACTGTGTCGGTTTGGTAAGTCCATCTCAAATGCTGGTCAACATGGATACCCAAAAATTTCGTACAAGTTTTAGAAACAACCGTCTCACCATCCAAATTAAGTTGAAAGACGTTCAAGCTAGCATGAAATGTGAAATATATGCATTCTGTTTTGGTAATGTTCGAAATCAAACCATTTTGATCACACCAACTATTGAAGCTATTCATGATCAATTTGGTTGACTCAGCAAGCTCCACAAAAGTGCCTGCTGTCACAACTAATGAAGTGTCATCTGCAAATAGTGCTAACATCTTAGCATCAATATGCTCAGGCATATCGTTGATGAATAATAAAAATAATAGCGGCCCCAGCACTGAGCCCTGTGGAACACCAATGCTCAGTGTCTGTTTACTGGAATAATGGTTCTCGACTTTCACAAACATCTGTCTATGATCAAGATAATCACTGACCCAATCAAGAAAAATTCTCTGCCTAATTTACAGTGGCATGTTCCTATTTACAGTTGCAACTGTAAATTAGGCAGACAAAACTGTTTTCAAACATCTCCTAATTTACAGTTGCAACTGTTTATTAGTGCTAATTTACAGTTGCAACTGTAAATTAGACAAATGTACGTGAAAAAAAGTTTTTCTAGGATGGCGTCGTACCATTGAGTGTTGAAAACCCTGCGTATTATTATAGCTAGAAAAATGAAATGCAGCAATCAAGTGCATGCAATGAAAAATTGAAAATTTTGAAGCGTCTCTTAGAAAAGTCATTTTTCCACCTGTGGGCGCCATAGTGACAGACTTTTCAGTCTAAACTAGTTTCAATTGAATTAATAATGCGATTTGTTCTTCTATGAGATAGTTTGATATAATTCACGACTTAAAAAAAAAGTTATTTGAATCAATTCACGAATTAAATCACTGACTTGAATTAATTCATGCCAAACCTGCTTTGTTGCATTTTATTTTGTTTCTCTCAATAGTTTCAGTCACGAGCAAATGTTTGGTTTTAATTTTTTTTTCATTTTTCTAATACGAAGCGAGAGGTTAAAACTTCCCTAAATCATCTCTCTCTCTTAGGTTACTCATGAAGAGGCACTACCTCCTGGACGTGCTCGGAGGTTGTTTGCTGGGGTTGTTCGAAGGGCTCTTGATGGAGCTGCTGTGGCTAGATGGCGCCACAGCCAGATCTATACTGTCAATTGTCTCCGATGAAAAATTGGACGGGGGAGAGTATCACGTGTGATAGTGTTAGTCGTTTGAGCTATGTTTTTCGTTTCAACTTGTATCCTTGGAAGATTCTTGATGAAATTTGCTCAAATTTTCAATGAATCAGCTCTAGTCAATGCGAGTCGAGACCAAAGTGAAAATTCCCGATAATGAGTCGTGTAGTTACCTATGAAAACTAATCGCAATATTATACTTTTTTCTTGAACTTGAAACTTCTTTTATTTACCGTCCAAATCAACATACTGTCACAAATGAGGAGATATTTGAAGCCAAATTCCAAAATTTGTATGAAATCATATCGGTTCGAAGTCATTGAACGGTCACGTCTGTGTTCAATATTTCCAAAATTATTAAACCACGAACTTTCGATTAGTGGTTGAACATAAACACAGGCATGGCATTGCCTTCAACGAACCAGGAATATCCACCTGACTTCCTCACTGTCACGTTTCCAAAATATAGATTTAACATATAAAAGGCGCGAGGAAGCCAGCACAGGTATCATGCAATCATTCAAACATTCAATCATTCAATTATTCGCTCAATTCGATAATTTAGCTCGATCACTCATAGATCATTAATTGATTCGATTATTCACCACTGTGCCCGAACCGTCGGAGTTGGGGACAGAACAGAAGATGCCCTTCCAATAAGGTCTCAGAAATATTAGCTTCATAATGTATACTTATAGGGTAAGTTAAGTTTCTTATACAGGGTGTCCCAACGAAAACTTCCCACCCGGATTTATCTTCTTTCAACCAAGTATCAGTTTTATGTCGCTATTCGCGAATACAACATTACAAGCGGAAGATGCCCACCCCAATTGTGAGCGAAACGTCCAAAGGAACCTCCTCCACAGAGGTGAACCGACCACGGCACCGAAGCAGGGCCTACTCTATCTCACCGGGCCGGAGCATCGCATTCGTGACGTCACACTAGTAGGGACAAAATCAAGGCAGTGGAAATTGTCTCTCCCGTTTCATTGATTTACCTCGGGAAAACGGTCACAGTTAGCGAAAAATATCAAGAGGTCAAATATGTACAGAAAAGAATTGTCCAGAAGATGAATCGAATTTCACTGATTTACGATCATTAATTTCAGAAATATATGGCATATCAAAATTAATTGACGCCATTCAGAATTGTCCTTTTTCAACCAGCTACCAAAATTCCAATATTCAATTTACAGAAATGATTCAACCATGAGAAGATTTCGCATAGTATCTAGATTGACTGAGTTTTTTTTTGAAATTCCCAAGGGCCAACAACAAACCGATATTTCAATTCAAGTAGAACGATGATTCAGGTGTTCCTTACAGAATAGTTCAAAAAGTTCGGACGCCTCCCATGCTAATACTATTAACTGTGGATATATGCTGTCACTGACTTTTTTGTAGGAAATTTGATTGCCTACAAATCGGTATGATACACATCCACTTTATCTCGAAGGGTTTTAGCAGCGTTTATCTCTAAAGATGATCAGGACGCACTTTGATGACGTTCGAAATCCTATACTCGAGTGTGTTATTACAGAAAAACGCCTATTCGGTATCAATTATTTTATGCTGAAGAGTATATACCTATTTGAATGATAACGTTAAATTCATGAGAAAAATTTGATTTGAATATATTTGAAAACTATCAAAATTAAAAAGAACAAAATATGTGGAGTTCATATGAACACAACCTAACAAAAATAATTGAAAAAATATGTATCTCAACAATGAGAGATATAAAAATGAATATACCGACTTGAATAACAAAATACCCAGAACAACGATATATGAATAAATAAGCAAAAAATGAAGAAAAAACGTTGAATCCTCATACACACACAAAACCAAACAAAATAAACTGTTTAAATGATCAACATAACAAAATAAAAAAAATTGATAGATATCACAAAATGTAATACACTAATAACAAAAAATACATATGCATCATCTCAATAACAAACTAAATATTGAAATATGAACTATATCTCATCTTGAAAGTTTAGTGATTTTTCTTTTTTATTTTTTTTTTATTTCGCAATAATTGTTCAACGGAATATTTGAAATGGTTTCAGAGAATGTTCTGCTGATTAAATCAAAAGACCCACAACTGCAACATCGATTCTCGGAATAATTGAGAAGGGAATTGATTTTAATTTCTGCTAAATTCTCCAAAACTCTATGTTGTGACTTACATTGTAGAAATATTGTTTCGAATTTTTCAGACACCTATATTAGTTGGTCTGAACCATACGCCATTTATAAATAGAATAAAATAAAAAGTATATCGCCCTTTACCAGTCCAAGGAATTATACCGCGAAATCGTAATACAGCGAAATTTGGGTAGGTAGGTATAACGGCCCATTTTTTACGCGCTCTTTATATTTAATTTCTTTCGGACTCATTGTGGGTAACTCTACAATTTTTTCACTATTCAATTGATTCATTATCGTAGTTTGATATATTGAGTTAGTTTCATCTCATTCCAATTCCAAATTTGCAAAAAATAGTATTCTGTAGTACAACGTCCTGATTTTCAATAAAATGGAATTTCGTTACAACGCCATAACTCGGTATTGATTCATCCTATTGGATTAATTTTTTCACCAAAAGTTGAGGAATTTGTTGGGGATCATTTCGTCTCGATTGAGTGTGCTTCTAAAATTTATAGTAGATGAGCTATAGCCTATCAATTACCAACGCATCATTACGGACTGATGTGAAATCTCAACCTACTAGTGTGACGTCAGCGTCGAGAGAGAGGGGATAGACTACGGCCCGGTGAGATACAGTAGGCCCTGACCGAAGCCCGGAAACCATATTTCTTAGTTTTTGTTCTGTTGACTTTTTCATTGACAAAAAATACCTGTTTTTTATGGTTCTCCTGCGTGTATGTTCTCAGCATGAATTCACAGTTCGCATGATTCTTCTGGAAATATCATTTGATTCGTATTCTGTGAGTTAAGTTTCTGCCTGACAATGATTTACGCATTAGAAGAACGAATTGAGTTAGTGAAACTTTACTACAAAAATGATGATTGTCTTAGAGCTGCAGCTAGAACTTTCAATACAAGGCATCCAGGGAAAAATACATCTCATACCTATGTTCAAACGTTGATTGAGAAATTCGAAAGAACTGGGTCTGTGGGAAACCAGAAACATCATCCTGAACGTCTGATAAGGAACGAGGCTGTTGAGGTAGCGGTTTTGGGACATGTGGCTATGGATCCTACTCAAAGTATTCGAAGCTTGGCTGACACGTCAGGTGTAGCGCGATCGAGTATTCAGAGAATTCTCAAGTCACATCGATTCCATCCATACAAACTAAAAATTGTACATGAACTGAACGAAGACGATTTTGACAGACGTCAACAGTTTTGTGAGGAAATGTCTGAGCGTCTGAGAACAAATCCCAATTTGCTCTTCAATATTTGTTTTTCAGACGAGAGTACATTTTTTGTTAATGGAAACGTAAATCGTCACAATTGCCGCTGATGAAGCGATACCAATCCCAGGTTAATACGTGAGGTCCACACACAAACTCCGCAGAAGTTGAATGTTTGGTGTGGTATTTTTGGCAAAAATATTATTGGACCACTTTTTATAGATGATAATTTGAATGGACGGATAACAGATATTATCGAAAACGATGGAGATTATTCGGAAGACAACCTCCATTTTCAACAAGATGGAGCACCACCTCACTATGCAGTGGCGGTTAGAAACTTTCTGGATGAACGATATACCAATCATTGGATAGGGCGACGAGGACCAATTGAGTGGCCAGCTAGATCACCGGACCTCTACCCGTTGGATTATTTTTATGGGGGCATCTCAAAAGCAAAGTTTTTGCCACTCCGCCAGAGTCACTAGAGAATCTACGTGGTCGAATTGTAAACGAGTGCGGCAGAATAACTCGAGAAGTATTGGTAAACGTTCGTAATAGTATCGAAAGTAGACTTTATCATTGTATGGAGGTAGGAGGGGCTCATTTCGAGCAATTAATAAATTGAATTTCGATAAGAACAGGTCGTACGATATTGATTATTGAAATTAAACCTATTACCACACTAATCTCAATTACCAGTCATTTGATTTTGAAAAAATATAAATGTTTGGATAGAGAATGACGAGAGCTTGAAGATGATGTATCACTCGACCCAAATTCCCCCTGTCAGGGGGATGAAGTTGCGTGACTAAATTCATCACTGACATGTGTCCCCCTAGAAATCAAAATCGACGAGTTTCAGCGTTTCCGAAAATAATTTGTCATTTCCCAGTAAATCCGTGTGGAAAGTTTTCCTTGGGACACCCTGTATTTGTTATATATTCAAAGAATAAACGTGTGTATATGTTTTGTTCGAAAACCTTTTTGAGTATAGTTTATTATTATCACTTTTGAAGTTCCCCCCCCGCCTACAGTTTGTGATATGTGCGATTTGAACACGCAAGACCCTTCGAATTTGAAACCCGTTGACCGATTTTCAAATACAAAAATTCCATAATATAGTAGGGAAGGGACGGGCAAAGTGGAGCGATTTAGATTTGAAATTATCGTTGGGCCTGATATCTATTGTGACCAAATTTCAATCATTTCAAAATTTTGTGTAGGTATCGTGATTCTCGGACGACCCTGTATGTTTCTAGCGTGTTTTCATCTTTTCTTCTAATACGCAAAAAAATGTGACGGCCGAGGTAGGTAGGTACGCGGTACCGGAGAAAAAAGAATTTATTTGTGGCAAGAACGACGGTGATCTGCGAAATATTTTATAAGTATCGTTTTACGGATTTCTTCGCATTGTTCACTGAATTAGACAAATTTTGGGATACGTTATTATAATATTATGGAAATTGATTTGTCTTGATGCCTTGATGAAGAAGGATTTATAAGTTGAAAGCATAATCAAACGTCTCTGAATGCTTGGGTTATCTGCTTTGGAGGTGAGTTTCTTTTTGGTTTAGAACCGGTACTTCACTATTATTATTTTTCTGATAGATTCTTATCTGGCTATTTATCTGATTTCAGACGTTTTGGCACGGTGTCGTATAGCAATTATAATGTATAGAGTGAACTAAAATATGAATGATATACTGGGTGATGATATTCACTTATGGTCCGAAACATCGTTGGTTGTTTGAGGATAAGGAAATCGTAGAGACACTCATCTACAATCTGATGAAGTCATCCTCAACTTCGCGGGAGCAGTGATAAGTACCACCTAGTGGATTTTTATATTGGTTTACCGGGGTCATGGCGAGAGATTGATTGATATTGATATGAACTTAAGTTTGTGAGACTATTGATTCAGTTTGCTCAGTGAATGTTGACTATCCCGTTGTAGTTCACAGCTCGGTCTACTGTCCTTTTCTTTCATGGATATGATATCATATAATAATTAGAATTATAAATAGTCCTCTCGAGAGTTAGGTAGGTCACAAATTGAAATTTGAATTCAATTATATTCCCCTCACACCTGGAATACGTTTGTTTTTATTGAGTTCAACCTGTAGACTAAATTCTTGGGGTCTTTTTAGTGGTTTTTACAAGACTGAGAAAACTTTCTGAATTTGGGGGTGTGATTTTAAGAAATCACTTGGCGCTCAACAGTTTTTTTCATTATTTTCTTCACCTACTCCCGACTCCACTGAGTGTTGGTCGGCGCACACCCAAATTATTGTCTTCCATGGCGAAGTTTACGTAACACTATTGTTACCTATAGTAGGGGAGGCAAAGAGGCTAAATAGGAATTTACTCGATTGTCGTGGAGACGTATCAGGTTGTGAAGATTAGATGCGAAAATGAAAAAAAGTTTTTCTACTCCCGTATGTGAATTACTAACTTCACACATCGATAAAAATGTGTACAGCTTTATTTCACGAATCGGTGTGTGAAGTGCCATGCTTTTCTTATGGAATTTATTTCACGCACCGGTGCCATAAGAGTCAATGGAGTCAATACAAATTCACACACCGGTCGCTGGTCTAGGTAGGTAGTGGTGGCGAGAGACATTGACAAATTAATATGACAGTTCCCGCAGAGTGAAGTTCAGAGTTACATCAGTTAATAGACCGTAAATAGTAATTAATTACCCTCTGAATTAATAAATAGTACGACGAAATTTTGATTTAAACCGATTAGCCGTGTATTTCACGCAAATTCCTGATGGACAGCATTGAAGTACTCCCATCAACTCCTCCAAATATAACGTTAGCAGCCAGTGAAGCAAGTTCATCGTTATTGCCACAAAAATCGTTGGGAATTTACGAAAACACTTTGGAAAAGTTTATGCAATGGCGCAATACAAACAACGTACGTCCAATCGTTCTCCGAAAGGGTAATATTAGCCTACCTATATGAATTATCAACAAAGGTTAAATCTTCTACCTTATGGAGTCACTACCCAATGTTGAAAATCACTCTTAGTGTTAAGTACAACGTACAAATTGGTGATTATCCGAAAGTTCGCGCTTTCTTGAAACGGAAAAACGAGGGATACATTACTAAAAAATCACGCGTTTTGGAAAAGGAACACGTATTAAAATTTCTCAAAGAGGTACCCGATGAAAAATATTTATTAACCAAAGTGAGTCCATTTGTATAAATATCGATAAATACTAATCTTTAAATTTTTAGCTCATTTTGTTGTTTGGGGTAGCTGGAGCCCTGCGCAGAGATGAGCTCTATAAATTAAAAATGGATGACTTCCAAAATTTGGGAACAGTTCTTATTGTGTCAGTTAATGATACGAAGACTAAGGTTTCTAGAAAATTTACTGTTACTGAATACTTGGACATATATCACAAATACGTATGGCTCTTCGTCCCAAGGATTATGCCGAAAATAAATTCAATTATCAACGAGGGAAATGTACTCGGCAAGTGATTGGTATAAATAAGATAGGAAAAGTCCCTTCAGAAGTTGCCACATTTTTGAAACTCCCCAATCCCAACGAATTTACCGGGCACAGCCTACGGCGTTCATCTGCGTCTTTATATTAGTCGAAGGTGGAGGAGATCTCCTAACGCTAAAAAAATACGGCGGCTGGAAATCATACTCAGTGGCAGAAGCCTACGTGGAAGAATCCCTAACTAAAAAGATAGATGTCTGCAATAAAATCTTTAACAACTGAGAATAATCGTAGTACAAGCAGCACTAATTTTGTAGAGAAAGACAAAGTAAATGTACATTTTGACAATTTACAAAATTGCAATATAACTGTTCATAATAATTAAGGTCGTAGAAAAAGTATAGTGTGCACCACGTCCGTGAAGACTTCACGCACTAGATACACAATATACTATATTATATGATATATGACCGCCACAGCCAGATCTATGCTGTCAATTGTCTCCGATGAAAAATTGGACGGGACGTGTGATAGTGTTAGTCGTTTGAGCTATGTTTTTCGTTTTAACCTGTATCCTTGGTAGATTTCCTGCGCTCGTTTCGTTTCCGCACTCGCCGCTCTGCGGCTCGTGCTAAACGTCCACTCGCGCGAAATATGTCACTTTCCACACTAGTTATGTTATATACTATTAATCTTTGGAAGAAGTCCATGGTAACTCAAAGTGGAGTGGTGTAGTTTATAGATGAAAAGCCCAAAGTCATCTCCACAACTTTTATTGAAATGATCAAAGATCATCAATGGTACATGTTTCGGGCTTATATAAGCCCATCATCAGCCGATAAAATAGTTCAAAGTTCTAGAAAAAACCGGTATTGACTTAGGATATAAATGCAATGATTGATTACTTACATGGAAGTGAAAAAAGTTGAAATTCAAATAACGTGGACAATAACAGAGCAAACAAAGGCAACTGCTCCATGATCTGGAATACAAACAGTTAATAGTATATTACATAACAAGAGTTGTAAAACGCATATTACGCACGAAGTGGAGAGAGTTACTCCACAAGTGCGTAATTGCTTTACAACTCGAGAATTGTACTATACTTTTTCTACGACTACACTATATTTTCTTCCGGATATTGTAGATATTGTATTAAGGCAGAAATAAAGAATACCAATATAAAACGTCTCCCGTCACAAAGCCGGCTGCATGAAAAGTTACAAATCACAATTCTTGTGTTTGTTTATTGATACATTGCAGACCGAGACATTTTCCCCAATTCGAACTGAAGTGGGGCCGTTTTTCATATCTTAACAGCTTTATTAATAGGTAGCAGCAAACACATTGTATAAAAATATAAAATTAACATTCATAATGGTTATTTATTTGTAACAGTGCAGCGCGAGAGATTCTGTAATCGTTATTAAAAATAATGAAAAAAAGTTCTCCAACTGCGCTCTGAACCATCGACTTTTGGGTTCGGAGCCAGCGCTTCCGACAACTGAGCTATCACTATTTTTCCGTATTAGTAGATATTTTAAAAATATAATTTCGAAGATTGATCTTATTTAATTATTCCTGTTATTTAATGAAAAAGGAATTCATCAGTTCAATGTTGAGTATGTATGTTATTTGAAAAATTACCTTCAACAGGAGCATTCTGCAGAAAATAATTGATTTGTTCAGCATTAAGTATTTTTGATTTTTTACTTCGGAATCCATCCTTCCCTTTTGAGGAAATGGGATATGTTGCTATATTGATATAATGATTGATATTTAGTGTTGATCGTAACATGGAATATATCTACCAGAGTGATGATGATTTCATCGAATTTGGTAATTCTTGAAAATATACTAATAGGATATTTTCCGAAAATGACACGGTATTATTTCTAATTCTCCAGTCCAGGAATTTTTGATGTGCTGTTTCGTATCATTCACGAGACTTAGCGGGTAGCAATAACTCATTTTTTACCATTCTAGCTTTTTCCCACATTTCTGGTGGTGTAGAAATAATCTTCTCATCGTCATCGCTTGACATCATTTTTTTCAACTGAAATTGAGGATTATCAATAGAAAATAATTCTAATTTCAAAAAATATAACTTACCTGATGCTTTCAGTTTCGGTGGATAGCTGAATTGATTGATAAGAAGATAAGTACCTACCCACCTAGCTAGTGACATTAATGAAATTGTTAATTTTTATTGACACATCGCCAAAGCAACAAAACAAAGTCATCTATCAACATACCTATGAAAACCGTGCGATCGCTCTCTTTACGCACACGTGTGTAAGGAGAAGCTTACTGCCATTGTTTTGGGTACAATATCCATCACTTACAGTAGTAGTCGTAGGAAAATAGATATGTAAAGAAAGTTCAGAATCGGAAAACTTACTGTTAATGTAAAATTGGTTTTTTTATAAAAAGTATAAAAATTATTTTTAAAATAAATTCTTATTATATACTATTGATTAAGCATCACATCATTCATTATACAAGTTTTGACGCACTGACCTGCAAATAATAATAAAATCATCAACTCCATGAAAACTAAATGACATATAAAAGGTACTTACTGAAATCAGTGTATTACCCTCGGTATTACCTAATGTGAATGTGTATTGAATGCATTCAATGCAAAGAGTCTGAATTCAGAGAAAAAAGTCTGAATCCAGACAAATAAATCTGAATTCAGAGAAAAAACTCTGAATTCAGAGAAAAAAAGTCTGAATTCAGAGAAAAAAGTCTGAATTCAGAGAAAAAAGTCTGAATTCAGAAAAAAGAGTCTGAGTTCAGAGAAAAAAGTGTGAATTCAGTGAAAAAAGTGTGAATTCAGACTCTAAAGTCTGAATAAAGAAATAAAATACACACAACGGTGGCCTTTCTACGCTTTCGTACGAGTGAACAAACGTGAGCGCCGGGTGTATTTAATTGAGAGTTTGTTTTCAAAAATATTTCCTTCTATAATTACTTCTTTTAGGGGACAGCAACTCCTCTGGGACACCCGGTATAGTGTTCCTTTTGTTTTCCAACTTTGCATTCGTAAAATCTTTTCAGTTTCGTCTCGGGCCGCAGCGAAATGCGTCAGTTTCAAAAATAAACCCGCCAAGAATAAACCTCTCAGTTTCGGTGCAGATCGAGATTGCAAAAACATTTGAGAAACGTTTCACGGCTAACTGTCTGTGTTCCTCTCTCTGGTGTCGAATTTTTCCACGATTTTTTCTTCCTGGCTTATCGACGTTAACGGTGTGAAGAGACAATGACAATGTTGACAGTTTTCAGTCTACCAGTTGATGATGGAGAATAATAGAAGAGCATCGAAAGGTAAGTGAGGTGCATCATTTTTTCAGTTGGTCTTTTGACATTTACAAGGCGACAAATACAGCGTTTCTATAAATGATCGTAGTGGTCGTTGAAATAGTGCTGCTTTCTGCTATTGTTGTTCACAGGCATTTTTCGCACCGTTTTGGCACCAAAAGGACTTCTCCACAAACTATAGCATCCCTTGTAACTATTTTCTCTGTGACGGAAAAAAAGTTTGAAATTTCCTCTCTGTTGATAGGTTATACAATGTCACTTTTCATAAAGTACTTTTTTCCCATGGAAAAAATTGAGTACTTTTTCCCCGGATATATATACAGGGTGAGTCATGACTAACCAGCCATGGCCTAATGGCGTATAGAGAAAGACAACGTGAGTGGTTATATATGTGAACAAAATTATTTCGCCTATTCGTAACAGAAATACAGGGCATTATCATTTGAATTCGGGGCGAAACTTCGATGAACGATATTTCAACAACGTCTCCATGTTTTCGTATGAAATTAACTAGGAACTTACCTCTACTGACACTCCATAAGAAGACCAACTATGGAAAAAAATCTAGAGCCGGACTTCAAATCAAATCAATTTTCTTTCTAAATGTCATAATTGTGACTTTTTGGATCGTATTTTTCAAAAACTCCCATCATGATCAGAAAGATCAGGAAAAACACTTTAAGTGCTGCTCTTCAATTTGTGAGACACACTTATTCGACCGATTTGGTAAAACAATTTCAAACAAAAAATACTGACGAATGTTTCATCGATTTCGTCCAGGGGTCCAGGCACAAATATTCTCTACATTCGACTTTAAGTAATGAAATCAATTTGTTCGCATATTGATATAGCAGCAAAGTTGAGAAAAGGTTTTTTCAATGAACAAATTCAGGACTGGACTACAAAAATATTATAATCTTCGAAAAAGATTTGTCTGTTTCTTAATATTCTTGAACAGAGATTCTCAAAAATGTTCTCCTCCAATTTCTTTACATTTTCTGCTTCTCTTCGGGAGATCTCTCATGGTTTTTAGAATAATTTGCCTATTATTTCTGATTATATCTGAATCTGTAACCATCCTTTCCCTCAGTTCCTCTCTTGTGTTGACTTCAGTCTGATATACCAATCGTTTCATATGTCTCCATAGATATAATAGTCTAATACTGTGAGATTAGGAGACCTAGGAGGCAAAGAATGAGGACCGCCGGACTACCCATCCAGAGTAATGTTGAAAGAAAACACTTCTTTCAATCCATTTTCTTACATCACACAGCCTTCTTTTTTGGTGCTTTCTGGATCGCGAGAACAAAAAATTCACAGTTCAATTCGCTGATTGAGGGAGTTCACATGCAATGAGATCATATACAATAGTTTATTTATTTCAAGAAGATTATAAACAGGTTCCTAGAAACCTAATTATATGAATCTTAAAATCAAAAGTTAAGAACAATACCTACCAGTTGTATTCTAAAACTAACACTATGTGCAATAAGAGCACCAATTTATATTTGAAGTTTTCCTTTTGATGAAACACGTAAAGAAATAGACTACAATATTTGTGATAAAATTTATAATAATTAATTAGACTGACAGAAGTGACATCAGATTACCAGATATTTGATTACTTCAAAAGAATGATAAAGATGCCTACAACGCAGGTGTCCCTACTGTTAAAAACTTAAAATTTCACGTCGATAATTTTCAGATTTCGAAATAATGCAATATCTTCTCAATATTGATTCGTCATTTCTTTTGTCACAGAGAAAAATAGTGTATTATACACGGGAAAAATATTAGATTTTAGCTCACGATTTTTTATCTCCCTCCGCTACGCGTCGGTAGACAACACAACCTGGAGCTAAAATCTACTGCTTTTTTTCCTTGTATAATGAATAACTATTTCGGTCGAGTAACCGACAAAAATTATCAGTCACTCCTATATGTATAGAATAAGCAATATCCAAAAGTTTAGAACAATTCCAATACCTACCTCCTCTCCCTATCCTCCCTAGGTACGCACGATATTCTCAGAACATCATATGGATTCACTTTCGTGCGCCCCAAGAGATAAAAACAATTGGAGCGACCGAAATGACCGAATGTGTGAATGTTGGATCTCTATGAGTGTAAAGCGGTGAATGAGTAAAATATTCCAACAGTCCCTACGATGCTTCGATCATTTATATACAGGGTGTAATATAAGTACGTTGAATTATTAATTATTCAAGTGATGTAATCCTGAGACAATTTGAAGAAACAAGTCTATGTAAACTTGTGTCCGGAAATTCTTCGTTTCGGAGATACAGTGTGTTGAAATGTGTTTTTTTGTAATAACTTTTGCAAAAGCAAGTTATTTGCACGAAATTCGGTACCCGAGGTTTTTTGATACGTGAATCATAATTTCGTGTTAATTTCCATGTAACATCTACAGGGCGCTGCGTACGCTTTAATTATATATCTCATACATTTTGCCAGTAAACTTTTTTTTTATCGCTTGGAGAGCACGAAAGGAAATCCCTATAATGTACAAAGAACATAGTGCGTTCCTAGGGAGGATAGGGACAGGAGGAAGGTATTGGATTTTTTTTTGAACTTCTGGAGATTGTATATGTTGTTGGGAATACTTTCTCAGGCAATGAATTCCAGAGCCTAGCCGTTCTATGGATGAAGAAGTTTTAATGAAGTGCTGTTCGACATCTTTCGAGGTTGACAACGAAAGGATGTGGTGACTGGGCTTGTCTAGTTCGTCTGACCGGTATTGCTAGTGAAGGAGTGATTTCCGAAGAACATCGCCTGTAGAAGTATTGATAGAAAAGTGAAAGGTAGCCGACCTTTCTACGGTGCTCCAATGATGTCAAAGAGTGAGTGAGTGTGGCGTCACCCACCAGGCGAATGGCTCTTCTCTGGATGGAATCTAAGAGCATCAGCGTATGTTTTGGTGCTGAACCCCATATCTGGGAACAGTATTCTAGAACAGGCCGTATCTGCGCTTTGTAGATCATGAGAAGCTGTTGAGGTGTAAAGTAGCTTTTCGCACGGAACAAGAATCCGAGTTTTTGTGAAGCAGCTTTTGCAATGGATCTGACATGATTATCCCATGAAAGAGTGTTGCTGATGGAAATACCGAGCATAGATATGGTGGGCTTGGTGGTACTTTTCGTGAAAAAACCTTATTCCCACACTTTTTCCAAGTAAAAAATTTACGCTTCCGCTGGAGGTGATCGTTTTTCAGATTTTTTTTTATATTTACAATTTTCTATATCGATGCATGTTACTTAGCTTAGCTCCTAGGACGTTGAGTAAAGATGATAAGAACATTAGAAAAACTAAGTATGTGTATGCGGTGAGCCTCGTCAAAATAAACTACTTTTTTTTATAGGAAATGTTTATCGAAACATGATTTGTTTTCTGTTTTTCAACACCTTGTATCTTCGAAATGAAGCATTTTCGGACACAATATTTAATGTATAAACTTTTTTTCTTGAAATTGTCTCAGGAATACGTCACTTCAATATTTTTACGTACTTATATTACACCCTGTATAGTCTAAGAGCTGACAAAAAATATCATTGCCCGATAAACAGATCGATATCTCCTAGAGCTCTGCACGGGCCGGGCCAACCCGCGCGGGCTTAGGCCCGACCCGATCCGCACCGCGGGTCGGGCCGCCACGGGCCTGAAGAATGTAGCGTGCGGGGCGGGACGGGCCGATTCATAAGAAGTGCGGGGCAGGCCGATTCATAAAAATGAGCTCGGCGGACCGTGCGGGTCCCGCGGACGTGCGGGTTCCGCGGACCGTGCGGGTTTCGCTGACCGTGAGGGTTCCGCGGGCCGTGCGGGTTCCGCGGACCGTGCGGGTCCCGCGGGCCCTGTGGATTGCGGGAGTGTTGTGGGTTGTGAGTATTCATTTCCTAGTAACAGAATCCCACATTCGAAATGACATGATACTCTGAGCAATCTAGACGCCCATGCGTTTGTAAAATGAACTCGGTTTTCTTGGGATCCTCAAATCAGTCGAAACCAATAGCCTGTGACTGTGGTCATGAATAATGAATCTTCAGTTAATTTCATTTATTTTGATGAGAGCTTGAGAGCAATATATTTATACAAATCGCATTCGTTTTTATTGTCCCCATATTGCCGAATGTCGAGTAATTCCCTTAGAAAAATATAACAATCGAATAATCTAGAGGTAAGTATCTTTCAATTGATAAATTACATAAAGATATATCATTCAATTATTAACACTTCAAACACATCAGCATATCATTGATATCGAGTAAAAATTCAGGGTGGGATGTTTTTCCTTAGGTCAAAATATATGTTTGAAGTTTCTTTCCATAAGTGGGTTACGTGGGCTGAGTGAGCTACGCTGGCCGAGTGAGCCACGTGGACCGAGTGAGCCACGCGGGCCGAGTGAGCCATGCGGGCCGAATGAGCCACGCTGGGCGAATGAGCTACGCGTATCGAGTGAGCCACGCGGGCTGAGTGAGCTACGCGGGCCGAGTTTGAGTAAACATGAGGGTCATGACGCGGGTCGGGCTAAAATGTTGTCAACTGCGGACCGCGCGGGCCTGCGCTACATTTTATGCCGTGCGGGTTGCTGCGGGTCGGGTTATATTTCATATACATGCGGGTCGGGGCGGGCCTCAAAAATCTGGCCCGCGCAGAGCTCTAAATTATCTCCTACCTTATTGTATTGCCTTAACATCATCGAAAACTGAACGGGATGTCTAGCAGGTTTTCAGTGGTGGATGCGGCCGTGGTATGGCCGTAAAGGGTTGAAAAAAATAAATAAATGCGACTTTATATCTGTAATAGGATGAATGATCATTCCTATTCCAGGGTTAATAACTGGGTTGTGAATGTATGGTGACAGACATTCTAGTAATCAACTCAAAGTCAAGTTAGAATCAATCTTCTCTTTATTGGTGGTACCAGGTATATATATATAAATCATAGGAACGTACCCTAAACCTAAACAACCTAATATCATGAATACACCG